GTCATTGACATATACATTAGATGGCCCCGTAAAACTCTGTAAGCAATTATTTGAATTCCATCCTGGTTAAATTGAATTACAGCATTGGTTGTTAAGCATCTCTTGGTATGCAGTGAGAAAGCCAGCTAAACTTCAATTAGGTATACAAGAAACTGTGTGCTTGCTCTGTCACCTGCTTACCGCTGTGTGATGTAACCCTTTATCCTTTAGTGAGGAGAATTTGTATTCCAAGAGTCCTCTGAGGTGTTCTGTAGTTTTTATTGAGAGAGTGAGAAAAAATAGAAATCTCACAGGAGCTCATTATGTCAAACCTGATATCTTCATCTCTATCTCTGATGCCCCCTGAGGAAATTTTCCACATAGAGTCTCATGTATATTATCACTATGCTGGTTTGATCCCGTTACGCCAGGATATTATTTGAAGCACAGTTGACTCCATCAATATTACATCAGACAAAAAGATCACATACAAAGTCTATCCACATCAAAATGTACCTCTCACTGACAAATATTTGAATGTCACCCTTTTACGAATTTCTGAATTTTCCTGCCCATGTACTTCATGAATTATAGGGTTTTATAAAAGCTGCAACAGATCTGACTGGCATCCAACTGGTTGTTTTTCCTGCTGCTGGTGGCAGGCATGTGGTACAGGTCCTTCAGAGGTTAGGGATCTAAAGACTGGATGAAATGAAACTATTCTCAGAGGAATGCCTGGTAACTGCCTTTTCATGCCTGTTAATGCAGTGTGGTCAGTGAGAAAACTATACTGCCAGAACAGAATTGTCCCAATACACAGCTTAAGAGCCATTGTGCTCAGTCATGATCAGTGCTCAGTAAAATGGTCTAAAACATGAGTTCTAACAAAAGGAGCAGGATTTATTCAGGAATGAATGAAATAACAGAAGAAACCAGTATGAAATAAAATCCCCCAACCCAACCAAAATTTCATGTTTATTCCTGTTCACTATGCAAAACGTGGAAGGAAAATTATTCCTTAAAAAATAAACATTGTTTTTTTTTTGTGATTTTTACAAGTAATCTACTGTAAAAATGTTGACAGATACCTCACAAGTTTTTAAATTAAACCTGATTTCTTTAGACAAGTTGTTATGACGGTGCTTGAGTGTATGTGTGTGTTGACATTATAATAGTTTTTTTTTCTGATTAATTGACTCAGAGCAACTCTGAGATTAAGTAATGTGTTCATGGCACATTTAGTTAGTTAGTTAGTTAGTTTGTTAGTTTAGAGTAAGACTTTATTTGTCCCCATAGGGGCAGTTCATGGAGCATACATGAGCCTTTAGTGCAAATGTTTAGTAAGATGGCAAAGGTTAAAACACCATGATGGTTTAATTTGCTTTGTTATGTGAAGTAGATTTGTCCAAAATCTTTTTTTTTTTCCCTCGAATCCAAGTCCGAGGCATTTGATTTTGAGTATCTACCGATACCGAAACCCGATCCGATACTTCTATAATACATAAAAAAGAATAAAGAAGAGCAAAGAAACAGATCCAGGGTGGGCCGGTCTGTTTTTTGGCCGCGAGGGCCGGTGTCCCTTGCTCCAGAATCTGTTGCTCTCAGCAGTCACACTTTTTAAATTAATTATTATTTTTTACTTGACCACAATCTTCTTATTAATTATTTTACGCAGCTCTGCTCTTTTTATATATTTTCTCGCAGCCTGGTTAATGATGATATAACTCAGACGAGCCATCTCTTGATGCACAGCTGCTGTGGTCCAGTGGTTAGCACGTTAGGTTACGACACTGCGGATCCTTGTTTGAACCTCGTCTTAGTATTTATTTATTTATTTTTTTCATTTTTATTGTTAAGACATATAATACTGTTAGGGTTGGTGAACATTTGAAGTTCTAAAGCAGCTGTTTTCTCAAAAAAAGACGTGATAGTGTAATTAGAAACTGAATTGTAAATGTCCTTATTTTAATATAGTCAGTCGTGAACTGAGGTGGGCCGGTCTGAGGCTTGAAACTCCAGGGCTGAAAAGGAGTCCCACTCCGGCCCTGCCTCCACACTACAGACATACTCACGCTTTCTGCTGCAAGCTGTGTCCGTGTTCTTCTTTGCCAGCATTTAACACAAAGTAATGTCATGCCGCACGTTGCTGTTTCTGTGTGAAGTCAAGATAGAGGTCAAACTCTGTGCCACTGCATAACTATAGATGTGTTAAAAAATAATGAGAATATATATATATATATATATATATATATATATATATATATATATATATATATATATATATATATATATATATATTAAGGGTGGAGCCGAACCCGAATACGGTATTCGGAAAGGCACGAATAGCGTGTTTTTACGAATACTTGATTCGAACAAATACTTGAAAAATTATTTGTATTCGGGAGCAAGAAAAACACTATATCAAAAAGCAGCGTTTCCTCATGAGACCACAGTGCATGCCCGCGTGAGTGAGTGAGAGAGAGAGAGAGAGAGAGAGAGAGAGAGAGAGAGAGAGAGGCAAAACGCGCCAAAGCCCGAAACTGAAAGCGAGACGTGACTTTAAGGGTCTGTTTCATATGGATTTATTAATCATTCTTACTGTTCAGTGATCGCAAACTGCCGTAGTTTATTAAAGATGCAAACCTCTCACTGCACGTCAGCTGCGCGCCTTCAGCAGACCTCCTCATTCCTGCAGCACGAGAGCTTTATGATTGTTTATGCGCGCCAAAAGTGGCGGATCTGTCCGGTAAAATATCTGACTGCGTGTCACCGCATCCCTAAGGACTGTTTGGCGAAATATTTGACTGCATGTCACTGCATAACAAACCACTGAAAGGATATAACTAGAGAAATCTCCACTGTGCTACTGGGTGAGAGCGTATGGCAAGCCGTTTTAGCATTTAAACCTTGTTCAGACTATCCATAAATATATTTAGAGATATCTCTAATTATATTTTGACTTGTCATAATTATAATTCGACTAGTCAGATTGAAAATATCTGCAAATATATTATGATAGACTAGTCATATTCCTCCATTGACTTCCATTGAAAAATATTTGCAGATATCTCTAAATAAGTTTTGACTAGTCACAATTGTAATTAGAAATATCTCCAAATGAATTGACTAGTCAAAAATCCGATTCAAGATATCTACAACTGTAATTAGACTTTTAGTAAATTAATTAGAGATATCTTCAAATATATTTGTAAATATCTCTAAATATGATGAATTAAATATATCTCTAAATGTATTATGACTAGTAAAAACTCAGAGATATCAATTACAATTGTTACTAGTCAAAATTCATCTGATTACGTACTAGTACAATTGTAATTGCAGATATGTCTAATTGTCATTCTGAGCAGTGGAATTATAATTATGACTAGTCAAAATATAATTAGAGATATCTCTAATATATTTATGGAGTCAGAACAAAGATTTAAATGCTAAAAAGGCTTGCCATAGAGAGCGCTTCTCACTCACTCTCAACACAGCCACATTCTGCCCCAGCAAGTCAGTTTCAAACATAAAAAAAACAAACAAACAAACTTTGTGTCTTTTTTTGTGGCTGGCAGATGATAATAGCAGGGCTGTATCTTTTAGTATTATATAGAATACTTTTGTTCTGCCAGATCTCCCAGGCAGGGTTTTATTTAGATTTATTTAGTTAATATTAGTTTTTGGAATTCTGTCCATTGGAAAGAAGTTCTTTCAGAAGAAGAACAGTTTTTTGAAGTATTATTTGTTTTTATTCTGTCTATTCAGTGTCCTTCAACAAGAACGGTGGTGGTGGGGTTCATAATATTCACAATGGTATTTTATTAGTTGTTGGTTTAACCATGGATGAGATAATGGCTTCTATGTTATTTTCTTTTCAATGACATTTTTTATCACATGTTCAAAAACAGCCAAGACAACTATGTTTAGACGTCTATTAGACATCTTTTTAAAAACAAAAAAAGCTTGCTGGGTATTGATTCTAAATACATATATAAAAATGGAAAAATATTTATAAAATATAAATATTGCTAAATGTTTCTAAATAAATAATTAAATAGGTGACATGGGGGCACAGTGGGTAGCACGCTCGCCCCACAGCAAGAAGGTTGTTGGTTTGAGCCTTGGCTGGGTCAGTTGGCATTTCTCTGTGGAGTTTGCATGTTCTCCCTGTGTTTACATGGGTTTCCTCCGGAATGGAATTGAAAAAACTAAATTGGCCGTAGTGTGTGAGTGTGAATGAGTCTGTATGGGTGTTTCTCAATACTGGGTTTCAGCTGGAAGGGGCATCTGCTGTATAAAACATATGCTGGATGAGTTGGCGATTTATTCTGATGTGGCAACCACTGATAAATAAAGTGTCTAAGCCGAAGGAAAATAAATAAATAAATAAATAAATAAATAAATAAATGTCAGCCTAATTATCTTTAAGATTTTTTAAAATAAATTTTTATTAGACTGGCTTTGTCTAAATAAAAAATAAAATAATTGCATAAATAAGATTATGGTTAAGAAACAGTTAATATAAATATTTTGTGAACCCATCTGCATTTCTGGCTAGCACACTTATAATTGTATTTTTTGGTGTCACACACTGTGATTTGGAACTGGTCGAAGAAAATGAGAATGGATGAAAAACAAACACTGCATTAGACTTACCTTGAGTGCGTCATAAAAATTCAATAAAGCAAAAGCAAGAGCCGCTGTTTTGTGTCCCTGGCTCATGACAATACCATCATATTATGTTTCAACATTAGCATTAGGATCATGTGGAACCGCCTTAGTAGTTCCATGGACATTGCAGGCGCTCTCATTACACTGGACCACCTCGCTCTCAAGTGTTGGCAGATAATTGTTTAAGAGCTCTCTCCTTTACCTGACAGACCCATTAATGGTTCCATTTACAGTGAATGGGCCATTCAGCCCAGTCAGAGCTCATAGACTGAACTAATGCCACACTCTATTCAACAAGTACAGCAACCAATTTAATCTCTGGTGCTGTTGGCCACCAAGTGGTTCTACTTTTGCCTGAGGAGAAAGTCTCGGACACCTAGACCTGTCAGTTCAGCACTCACTTCCACTCTTTTCTTCGTGTTCCCTTTTTTCAGCAAGCTCAGGAGGGAGGTGAAGGTCGAGCAGAGGCTAATGACGCTTCAACACAGAATGTTCTAGAGATCAGGAGCCTGTCAGCCTCTGATTATAACAGTGACGGCTGGACAAGCAGAGGAAACGCTTATGGAGCAGAACAGAGGCTTTGGAGGTGTTTCCAGCATGCGATCAGTTAAAGAAGGAAGACCTTGAGTGAGTCGGTGGAGGACAGGTAGGGTGGCGTCGGCGGCTGCTGCTTATGTTGGTAAAGCTACTGAGAAAGCTGACAGTTCTTGTTTGATATGAAGAGGCTCTTTTAAGCGTTTGAAGTTTGTTTTTGAAGTTGGTCGAGTTCACCTATTCACTTTGCAATAAAGTAACTGAGGTTAACCCTTATCGACCGTTTCCTTTCGGAAAGTATACAATGTTTGTTCCTGAAAAAAGAAAGAAAAGAAGATAGATGACGGAAAAATATATATATTTGAAATCCCCTGCTGACAGCGAAGCGCTTATTATGTTTGAACTTGAAAGTCCTTTGTAAAATGCTGTAAGGTGGGTTCACTTTAAAGCATCAAAAATTAATCAAAAAACATTCATAAATGTGATAATTTGCATTCTGGTCAATCCGTTTATGCTCACAAAAACACCCTACGAGCCCTTCCCTTCAATTATTTATATATCTTTTTGGTAAGATGACTAAATTTTCTGCAAACAGCCTTGCTCTTAGCCGCTCTCTCATTTAGTGGTATTTCTGATTGATTCCATCAGCCATATATAAGGTTTCATCATGGACAGTGTCAGGGAGCACATTGCTGCAGGCACTCTATTCCATTCCGTGTGAAGTTGCTCTTCAATTAAAATATGTTTTTGAAGACATACTTAAGGATAAGTGGTGTTTGCTATACAATTACAACTCAGAGGAGCAGGTATACACAAGGTATACATGTTTTCTTTTGCTGGCAAAGGCTACATTTATTTAACTAAAAAAACACCATAAGTGTATGTGCAAATGTGACAGACAAGCATTTTACCACATGTGTGTACCTGAGAGGATGATAGAATGGTGGAGGGTGAGGCAAAAGTGGAGAGTGATTGGAGGAGCCTTTAATATAATAGGTCTGTGCATTCTTTTCAACCATAATTATATGTAAACTTTGCAGTCACACCAGTGTGACCTTTAAAAAACTTCTGTCGCCCCAGTTGGAAAAATGGTCGTAAAAAGCAACACATTTTTTTTTTTCAAGATTCTATGTAGAATGGAAAGTTTTTAGAATAGCATTTATCATTCATTCATTTTCTTGTCGGCTTAGTCCCTTTATTAATCCGGGGTCGCCACAGCAGAATGAACCACCAACTCATCCAGCAAGTTTTTACGCAGCGGATGCCCTTCCAGCCACGACTCATCTCTGGTATTTTTGTATATGAATTTGTATGATCGCATTCGTACATTTTAGAATTATTTGCTCACAGTGGTCAAGAGAGTACTGAAAAATCATATTCAAGTAAAAGTACCATTACTTTGAGTAAAAATATCTGTTCTAAATATTACTTAAAGCATGAGTAAAAAGTAGCCCTTTCAAAAGCACTTTAGAGAAGTGAGTATTGGGATGTGAAAGATTGATGCGGCAATTTGTACATTCTGTTGTACATTTAGTGATTGCTTAAGGCCATTTGGTGACTGGCCACACTGGGTGATTAGTCACCATACAGTAGACATCCGCCATCTTCTCATCAGTGACATGAAGTCTTAACAGTCTTAGTCATTGCGTGGAAAGATTTTGTCATGAGGTAGTTCTGTATAATGATTATTCTACTTCTCTACTTCTTCTCTACTAGCCAGTCACCATAGACAAGAAAAAATAAAAAAAGTAATGCATACAGGTTAAAGAAAAGTAGTAAAAGTACCAATACAGCACTAAAAATGTACTCAAGTGAAAGTAAAAGTACACATTTTCTAAAACAACCTACCTGATCTCGGATCCCCTTATATGCTTATTGACTATGCGGGAGCCTTGGGCTCAAGTATCTCCGAGCTCAGGTTATATCATTGTTATATAACAATCATTCCCTTCTGATTTTGTGAATAATTTATATTTAGGGTTAGCTTTATGGGTAGGTATTAGGAGTGGATTATATTTTCAAACAGGAATGCAGTTGCAAAATAGATGTTAAAGGTGCAGTAGGCGATCTACCTAAATGCTAACTGGTTAGCACAATATATTTCAAACACAATCCCTCCCCTGCTGTCCAAAGCCATGTCATTCACCAGTTAGAAAACTTTATAGAACTTTATAATACTACAAATCTGAATGGAAAACTGTATTATATCTAGCATGTTTTTAGTTGTGTAGTTAGCAAGCAAATCTTGTCATAATGTGCAGTATTTCATGCATGGGTTTCATGCAAGGATTGCTGGTCTCACATGCTTTGTCCTAAAGCAACTAGAGGTCAGACTGCTTAGTGCTTGTCCGGCAGCATGTAGGAATTACACTTATTACTAAGCCATGCTTACATGATATTTCAGACAGAATATTCAGAATAGCATGATAGACAATATAGGGAGGGCATCACAGGTTGTTATTGTTCAAAAATGGATTAATGTGAATATAAAAGCAACTTCACCTCAGTAAAGCAGGTTAGGCGTAATAGAGCTATTTACTTATGTTTTGTTGTTCAGTTTGGGCTACTTATCAGAATTATGGGAATTGTTGGCCTGCCAATTCTGCCTTACTCAAAACATAAAAATACGTATTTATACATTTAGATCATTTACTTTAATCATTACTATTGGAATATAAGAGTTTCACCAGCACAACAACATTTTTCTGAGGACAATTACCTACTGCACCTTTAATACAGGATTGCATCCTACCTAGCAAAAACAAATTCACCAATAAATCATATACTGTTGCAGTCATGCATTGATTCTCCTCATTTTTCATCAGTCAGAACTGATGTCAGAACATTGGCCACATTTTTTAGCTACAGCAATGAATTTGTCCATGAAAGGGATTTTCTGAAGTGTAGATACTAAAAAAAAGGTTGTCTCAAGAACAAATGACTATACTAATAATCGCATTCCAGCAAAGTCTTTTGTTACTGTGTAAAATATGAAAATAGTGATTGTGCAAAATTCTCCCATCTTCTTTCATCTGTGTGAAAAATGCAGCAGGCTGAAACATGCAGGTCAAGAACGCATCACTCCATCCATTATGTTCTCCATCCTGTGTGACGACAACACCTCGCTCCCATCTTCTTTATCTTTTGATGAGAAAATGGTGTTCTTTTGTTTTCCTCTTTTACGTGGAACAGCAGCCCTGACAGGCTTCATCTCTGCTGTATCGCTTATTAACTTTTTTTATGTAACATCCCACTTCAAAGCGTTGCATAGTCAACACAGGGAGCCAGAGACAGGATCAATGGCGCAAGTCCACTACCTTGTTTATTACCATAAATGTCAGCCGGCTGCTTCATCCTCAGCTGTCCTCTAGCTTTGGCTGACAAAAATGTCAAATGTATTTACAACAGTCATTACGATCAGAGAATACTGGGCGAGGAGTAGAACATTGCAAGAGAGGGTATGGAAAATAAAAGTGGTATAAAAGAGAGTGTTTTCTTTCATATACATCTTTGATAAACACTTACAGCCAAAAAGAGCCATGGCAACCAAGGACAGGGACCAAATACTCAGCGATGATGATTGATATATAATACTTACATTTCATGGAATTTGAAAGGTCAGAGCACTTACAGGTGCACTTAGTCATTTTTGTCCTCAATTTTGTTTTTCCGATTGACAAAATTATTTCTGCTTTTGAAATAGCTTTAGCGCACATCACTAACATGAGGTGATGTGTGTTAAGTTTTACATTAAAGGGCACCTATGGTGAAAGATCTACTTTTCAAGCTGTTTGGACAGACGTGTGTAAGTATAGTGTATATACTGTCTTATTGGGGTGATATAAACACCCAGTCCTTATTTTTTAATATTTAACAATATAAAAACGGTGGACCAATTTGAGCGGTTTTCAGATCGACCGCAACTTTGCGTAGGAGTGCGGTCCCCCCGCCCACCAATATTGATTGACAGCTGCGCACATTAACATGTCTCCGTAGTAATGCATAAAATCACATCGACAAGACAGGACGAAATTTATATATATATATATATATATATATATATATATATATATATATATATAAAAATATAAATATTATTATATTATAAATATAAATATATTATAATTTGCTTAAACATTTGTTCCCGCTGAGATTGTAGTTAACACAGGGTGTACGCCATTATTTTATTTTGATGGCGATTCAATTTTTGTTTGGGACATTTCAATAATTAGCGGGTATTGGTGGGGACATGTTTCTTCCATCCATGCCAATTCTATGCCCTTAGTGTCCACAGGGTCTTAAAGTTTTCAACTGTCTTAAATCTAATTCCTAAAACTAAATTTTAGACCATAAAAACACTCAAATTTACCAAAATATTGTGTTGTAAGTCTTAAATCATTTTAAATAGTACTTAATTTTCTTATGTCTGCAAAAAGCTACTCATTGAGGCCGAAATCATCTAATTACCAACAATTCATCTCAATAAAACTTTTAACAGATAGTTGAATTTTTAACTCATTTATTAATTTTCTTTTCGATCTAGCCCCTTTATTAATCAGGGGTCACTAGCCACAGCAAAATTCACCGCCAACTTATCCAGAATTTGTTTTATGCAGCGCATGCCCTTCCAGCTGCAACCCATCGTTGGGAAGCACCTACACTCATTTACACACATACACTATGGACAATTTAGCTTATGGCCCAATTCACCTATAGTGCATCTCTTTGAACATGTAAGGGAAATTTGAGCACATGGAGGAAACCCCCACGCACACGGGGAGACCATGCAAACTCCTTACAGAAATGCCAACTGATCCAGTCGAGGCTCGAAACAAGGACCTTCTTACTGTGAGGCAACATCACTACCCACTGTACCGCCCTAATTTTTACCTCTGCTTACCAATATAGTTTAATTATTTGCACTTTACAATAAGGTTCATTAGTTAATGCATTTACTAACATGAACTAATCATGAACAACACATGTACAGCATTTATCAATCATAATTGAACATTTACTAATGCATTATTAACATCCAAGTCCATGCTTGTTAACATTAGTTAATGCAACATGAGTTAACATGAACTAACAATGAACTGCTGTATTTTCATT